GTATCAAGTTCAAGCTCTGATTTTTTTTTTAGGAGAGCTGTGGCTCCCAAAACTATATGATGAATACATAAAAATAAAATTTAAACAAAGCTTTGCAGTGAACCATCAGTGCACTCTTTAATTGGAGGCCAAGAAGAGCATAGGCTGCTGAGAGAGGTGAAGGTAGGTGTAAAATTAAGAGATACAGAAGCATTGGAGCGATTCTCAATCAGGGTGCAATGAAGTCCATTTAGGGGTGCTGTCGGATGCTGCTCAGTATTAGCACTCTTGGGTATACAAACAGTTACAAATGAGCCCCAAGATAAACCCAGAGATTTCCAATAGGTGTCAAAAATGTTCTGACCTGTTATGGTCTGAATTCTTCACAGCAACAGCATTGCTCTTTTAGGTTTTACTTGTATTTTGGTTACAGAAAAATAAGCGTTGACATTTTCTGAAGGGTGCCTTGAGTCTAAAAGGTTAAGAACACCACTGAGGTAGCCCAATATCCTTGGTAAGTAGAACTACAGCATGCATACCAATTCTGATGGTTAAACTCTATTAATCCCACAATCTTTTTTAGAATTCCAGTCCTTCAGGAGAAATCTCTCATTTCACTGCCAAACGTCTTACATTAGAAAGTAACAGGAAAATAAAATCATAGAAAGGCATTCTTATTTTCAAGCTCCTTACATGAATAATTTTCTATTTTCTACTTTAAATCATTCTTTGTCCCATATATCACCCTATACAGCTTTCAGCTCGGAGTCAATAATTAGATTAAGAAGAACAATTTGTTAAACCAACCAATCCAATTGCTTGTGTACCCAAATACTTATTAAAAAAGTTATAAGCTTATACAAAAGACACAGCAAATACAACACTGTTATATGTTTTAATGTTTATTTCCCCAAGACAGCCTAGCCTGCTCTCTACTTGGATAAATTTCACAAGCTAGTTTTCTGCTGCTTCTAGTTTTAAACTTTAACCATGTTTCTGATGACAAGGAATGCTGCAAAAATACTCTAGTCCAACAAAGAGTTATGATCACAAAATAATCTTTATCCATTCATTCTACAGTGTTTCAGAATTACCAGTTGATTTTAAAACACAAGGTAGATATAGATGCTAATGGTGGCTAACCTGGTATGTTTTATTATAGCAAACTGTTGTTCATGCAACACTTGTGCTCAAAGGGGAAGGCACAGCATTTCCTACAATGAGCCACCTTATAAAGAGTTTTCCTTTTCGTACAAATTTGTAACGTCACTTTTAATTTAGTGTGCAGAACCTCAAAACTGAGGCATTCTTCCAATTATAAAAACACTTGCATGCTTTTATGCAAGTTTTAAAAATACAAAGTTTTCTCTCTAAAGTGGCTCAAAATAGATTGTTCATGGCTGCCTACATCTAAGATAAAAAGTAGTCTAAAACAATTGGACAGATTAGGCATATTAATTAAGGTGTTCAAACCATGATTTGATTTGTACATCTGTTCACACCTCTTCGGTCTTTATTCAGCAGTACATATGCACCAAATTTAAATTTTAGAAGTTTCCATATCATTTTCATAGAAAACAAAGTTTGAAAACAAGTAACATTGAAACACAGCACGGTATTCTACCACAACGGAAACGTTTTGTTACAGGACTCAACAAAATCTAAAAATGAGCTATGCTTGTAGATTACCACATGCAAAGGTCTTCATGTTGTCTTTGAAAATGAAAAGGATGATGATTTTATTACCACATTTTACTGTTTTCTACTATTATGGCAACTTGTGTACTGCAACACAGTCTATTTGAGGGGAAATGTATGACTTTTTTCCATGCAAAAATCTACACAAATTAGTTTTGATGATATGGAAAGCTTTTTCATAACATCAAACATTCATCTGGTGCAAATGCACAGGGAAGCCTTCCTGAAAATTCTGACTTTACAAACAACTAATAAGCCATACAGGAAAGAAATTAAAAGTAACTAAAAGAAAAATTAAAAAGGGAAAAGAAAAAAAACACAGGCTGCAGGAGTAAACTAGAGTCTGCTGCTAAACCGGTCTTTGTTTTTGTGTCCAGTGTAAGTTAACACTTATGAACTCATTTTGATGATTTACTAGGTTTATTATCAGCCCCCTGAAGGCGAATCAAGCTTGCATGCGTTCACATACAGCATCACAACCATACTCTCGTACACACGCCACTCCAAGACTAGGAGTCTGCTTCATGACTGAAGAGCCCTAGATTTGAAACAAGAGCCTGGCTCCACAGCATTGAGTCCAGACATTCATTCAATGTTGTCCATTCACACGGTGCTTCATAGCAAGGCCTGGGCTCATTCTCCTTGGACTTATATGGGCATCCTATTCTCTTTTATGCTTGATGATGATAGTACTGCATTTCCCCCCCCAATTGCTCTAATAAGTCATTGTTCCTTTCTCAGGCACTGAAGATCTTTGACCTGTAGCCCTTTTTCTTTGAACAATCTAAATAAGCATTCAGTGTGAAGTTTTTCATTACATTTTGCCACTCATTCTCACTCGCACCCACTCGCCATCTTGACTTCATTTGGGCTTTTCTGTGATTCCAAATGAAATCTTCACATTTTCTTTCCCGATTTAATGCAGCAGCGGATCCCATGAGCCAAGATTGATGGATCAAACCATTTTTTATTCAGTGCTGCATTGTACCTAACTTCCAAGTCATCGCTCTAAAACTGGAACCCTTCTGCTGGTACATTGGTAGATGAATTGAAACCAAATGTTCCACCTTGTATTGCCTCTGGAACAAGGCTAGGATCTTCATCAATCTGTAACAGAACAAAGAAGCATTTAGAATGGGTACAGAAAGGCTAAACATGACAAATTAACACGTCTATCATTTTATACCAGAGTCACCAGGATCTAGTGTTTAAAAAAATCCACAGCTTTGTATAAATAGTGATTGAGACACACGTTTTGGCTCATTTGTAGCAGCCTGACCATAGAATCTACAGTCAGTAACACCTTGAATTTATAAACCTTGCACCCCAAAGAACTGCAAATTTGTATTAAAACAAAATTACAGACTATATGGTGGATAGGTTGAAATGTGGCAGCTGTTTAACAGAGCACTAAATCACCAAAGCAGGAACAGAAGTCTCTTGAAACTGCAGGGGGAACGTTGATAACACAAGCAGCAATTACCTAAAATGCCCCAATACCAGGACTAACTCCTAACTTGTAAAAAGTACTCCAGGATCTGAACTGCCACACAGGCTTCTTATACCTCTCAAGAAATACAGCACAGCAGCACTGCACTCTGATGTGGGAAGTGCACATCAGTTTGCAATCTGTTTTTGACGATTACCAACTACCAAGGAAGAGTTACCTTACTAATGTTGCAAAACGGATAGGATTGTGGCAGCGATCACATTTAATTTTTTTTGAGGGGGACAGGACAAACTTCTCTTTGCACTTTAAACATAGTAAATTACTTTGAAAAAGCACATTTACGTGTTATGTATTTAGATTAGTGGTTTTCAACCTTTTTCATTTGCAGATCCCTAAAAAATATAAAATGGAGGTGCAGACCCCTTTGAACTGTAAGCGTCAGTATTCACATACTTTTGATTGATAATAGTCATCTTTCACTGACCCCTTAGACAATGTCTACGGATCCCCAGGGGTCTGTGGAACCACAGGTTGAAAACTACTGATTTAGACTAAAATGTTCTGAGATATAGTCATGTAGGAAAGAAGAGCTGCTAAGGCACTTGAGCTCGCTGTCAGATACCTATAAATTGATGATCAGGATTTCAATGCATTACAACACCACCACTTGCTACTCAATACAACTGGAAACCTAATAAATGTGAGATTGGCACAATTTGGATACAAGCTAGCTACAAAAAAATTACTTCTGAAGACCAGAGGAACTTAGGCTAAATAATGTTGGTGCAATGGTTCTCATCCTAGTTATGTATCAAATATTTCTCTTAAAAAGAAGCCTTTCTTTCTAAATGACAACTCATTCAACTTAGAAGGGCTGATGCAATGAGGTAAGCATAGGTTACTTAAATTTTTCTTGTCTACCTATGTCCCCCAACTATCAAAAACAGAAAAATTAGTTTCAGCAAGACATTTTATTTAAAGCATATTTGCTCAAAACACCTCAAAACTGAAGTTTACAGTATATCACTGGAACAAATATGCACATATCTACCTACTGACCCTATCAATCCAATATAATTACAGTAAATGCTAGAAACAGATTTAACCAGTGTAAAGTCTCTAGGCACTTTGATAAATAAAAGTGAATGTGACAAAACTACTATACACTTACATCATCTGAAGAGAAGAACTGATCAATGATCTCATAAGCAAGTTTGTAGATGTCTTCATTTTCATGATTCTGTAGCTGTTCAATTTTTTCCAACCCTGCAGGAAATATTTAAGAGAAGGAATCAGTCAGAAGGTTAAAATATTAGATCTGACACTTAAGCTAACCTACCACCTGTCTTCTCACCTCACCCATTAAACTTAACTATCCCCATGTTAGCCAAGTCTTGTATATTTAAAAAAGTTTGGGGGACACTAACAACAGAATTAGAATGTAACATGTTTAGGCTTATCTATACATGCAGCTAATGCTGATTAACTCCATGCATGGATGCTTATTATTATTTTTTTTTTTTTTAACTGTGTAACAACTCAATTGGGATTCTCCAACCATGAAAAAGTGTTCAGGAGTTTGGGGAAAATAAAGTAATCATCATCA